CAAGCTGCATTAATAGAAGTATGACTTCTAGATCATGTGGTGTACTATATCCCCTCTATTTGGCACTGGTTAGGTCCCATCTGGAGTACTGTGTCCAGTTCTGGGAACCACAGTTGAAGAAAGATGCAGACAAACTGGAAAGAGTTCAGAGGAAGGCAGTGGGGATGATCTTGGGACTGGAAGCAAAGCCCTGTGAAGAAAGATTGAAAGAATTGGGCATATTTAGCCTTGAGAAGAGAAGACTGAGGGGAGATATGAAAACATTTGAAGCATTTGAAGGGTTGTCACAAAGAGGAAGACCACAATCTCTTCTTGAGCATCCCAGAGTGCAGAGCATGGAATGACGGACTCAGGTTACAGGAAGCCAGACTCCAGCTAGATATCAGGAAGAACTTCCTGACCGTTACAGTGGCACAGCAATGGAATGCATTACCCTGGGCCTCTCCCACACTTGAGACATTCAGGATGCAGCTGGACAGCCATCTGAGTGGGATGGTATAAACTCGTGTCAGCAACAGCAGGGCGTTGGACCCAATGGCCTTCCTGGCCCCTTCCAACCCTACTGCTATATGTTTCTATGATTCTCAGTGGTTTACTATTATGGAGAAACTTTTGAGGACGTTACAGGATCTTTCGATAAACAGGGAGCTAGATGGGGTGACCTGGAAGGTCACTTCCAACTCTTAACATTCTGTGAAGCTTTCCCCCTCCTCCATTTATATTTTATCTTTTTTTCCTGCAACAAACCCAGGCAGCTTTCTCCTTCTCTCCATGTTATCCTCACAACAGTACTGTGAGGTAAGTTAGGTTGACAACCACTGACTGGCCCAAGTGACCAAGAGAGCTTTGTGACTGAGGGGGGCTAGAACCTGGACCTCTGAGGTCCAAGCCCAACACTGCACCACACGCACTTTCCCTGTAGCCACACTGGCTGAACTAGAGGGGCAGCTTGTCCATCTTGACCTTCTGTGCTCTGCATCGCTTGCACAGGGCAGAAGTGCATCAGAGCTATCAATGGACTGCGTGCCAGAGTACTCACTCCCCTGCCCCATTCCCCTTCTATGTGCAAGGGCTCTGCAGTAGCTCTTCAGTAGACCAAGTAATGTGGAAAGCTTCCACAAGTCAAAAAAGTTGGCATACCACACCTGTCCTGTGTAAACTGCCATCCCTGCTGGATTAGACCGAAGCCTAAAGGAGAGCATCCAAAAATGTTTCCTGCCCATCTTTCCCCGTGCAATCTGTTCATCCTCCAAAGTGCAACTCTTATGCTGCCGCTGCTGGTCTGATTGGCTGGGATGTGCTGTGTGTTTCTTTGTCATGCTTTAGAGTTCTCTTTTGTGGGATCTCTGACCAATGGGGCCAGCTTGGCGTCCCACTCAGGGATCCCTAGAAAGCCGTGCCCCTTTCTCTGTCCACCAACTGCTCAGTGGTTCTCCGGCTTTGTCAGCTGCTTCTGCTGCAAAAGGCTGGAGTGCTTCTTACAAGGCCCAGTTACTGACAGCCAGAGCTTTGGAGCTAAAAGATGCTGGTCTTCGGCCTCCCTCTTCGCTTTTGGCCTCACCCCTTGTTCCTTCAGCCCTGCCCACCCCAGTGGAATGTGGCCCCCAAGAATTTCTCCAAAATGGATCTTGGGCTGCAAGAGTTTGGGCACTTTAAAAGTCATACACAAACAGCCAGAAAAATGGCAACATGTGTTTCTAATGTCTGCTTGTGCGACTTTTCCCCTGGCCATTTATGATTGTTTCTTTTCAACCAGGTTAACTTCAGAACTCCATCTACCTACTGGCAAACTTTAATCATCTTTGGCAGAGCAAGTTAAGGCTGGTCAGTCATTCTGATTGAAAAACTGAAAAGGTAGCATGCAGGTCTAAATGTTGATGCTTCGAAATGAGCAATGCACTAGAAAAGTGGGAAATGGTCTTGATTATGGTCCTTGAAGTTGAGCATGTGTTGGTCACAGCTAGAAATGAGGTCAGTCTAGGAGTATTTCTAAGCAGCCACAAAACTATCCCTTGCTACTTTCTTTTTCAGTGCTTCATGCAGCAGTTACAGCATTGTTGTCAAAGAAACAGTCATTGCTGGGCTCCTTCTCTTATGTCTGCTTTTCCCAGCTGAACTCCCATGATTTTAATTGTTTATAAACACATGCTGGAGGCTCACTCACATATTTCACTGCTACTAAGATGATTGCTGTGTGTGTGTTTTGTAGAGTTTGTGGCAGCTGCAGGGCAAATAGGACTTAGCAAGAAAAGCTGCTCCTCTGCCAGCGCTTTGTCGCTGGCAAAAGATGTGCATGTTGAGTTTCTATCTGTTGCGCGACAGTTTACAGGGCAAGAGTTCTGCCAAAACTCCCCCTGCCTTTGGCTTTGCAGGAATGTTGAGGAAAGATGGAAGCTGTGTCAGTTGCTGCTGCTCCCTCTCTGGGCTGGCTTGGGCTCGCGGGCCGTTCCATCCAGAGGATACTAAGGCATAGGTGTAATATGGAGTCATCTCTCCAAAGACCTACCGCAAGGGTGGGAAGCATCCTTCCTCACACAGTTCCCCCCATTTCCCTCTGTGGCCATCTAAGCACCCCTCTACATAAGGGGTAAGCAGTCTGGTGCTTCTCGCAGGACGTGGTGGAGCACAGCACTCACAACCCCTGACCACTGGCTATGCAGGTAGGGCTTATGGGAGATGTATTCTAGAAGGTGCCTACCTGGCCCTGACCTGCATCCAGCAACATGTGGCCCTCCAGCTGTTTTGACCTGCAACTCCCATCAGTCTTCACCGCTTCCTCTTTGGGTTGGGTAGGAAGGAGTTGTAGGCTAAAACCTCTGAAAGGCCAGAAGGACCTGCAGATAACTGGCTTCTTGGAATGCCAGTTGCTAGACTAGAACTCCTCGCTTGGAGGGATGGTTGGATCCATCAGGCCGGACCCATTCCAGTTTGGGAAAGTTACTGATCTGGAGAGTGCCTCTTTTAAAATACTTGGAGCTAACCTACCTCTGTCCTTCTACCTCTCCAAGACCTGGCTTATTGCTCTGGAAGGAATCTGAGTAGATTTTAAGATGGAAGTCCTTTTCTGCTCAAATTAATGTATATGTATATGATTTGCCTGGAGTCTTAGCATGTCAGTCTGTGGGAGTGCAGACCTCCCCTTTGAAGCAGCTTGAAAAGTATAGAAGCTAGCTCCTGTTTGTCCATGCCTTAAAAAACACGAACCTTTATTTAGAATGTGTTGTGATTTATAGTTGAAACAAATACATCAGTTGAACTGTGATCTTTTGTTGCTGATGTTTTTGATTCCACCCCCTCACCCGCCCACTTGCATCTTCCAGAGAATATGCTGAGTCCGTATAGTACTTTTACATGGTAATCGTTTCTCCAGGGACTTTATATTAACAGTTAGGGGGTTTTTTCAGCCACCCTCTGTAGTTCAGCACATCGCAGGGATGGAACTAATTCCATATTGTCCAGCTAGGAAGACACTTCTTCATGTTCACCCTGTCCTTCCTCCAAGGAGCTGCAGTGGGTGTCAAGGCTCTCATGCCTACTTGATCCTCACAACGATGCTGTGAGGTAGGCTAGGTTGAAGCGGGATGATTCTCCCGAGATCTCTTGGTGAAAGTAGAGGTTTGAACCCGGGTCTGCCTGGATCTTGTCCAGTACTATTTTGACTATGTCAGACTGGCTCTCAATCTACCTATAGGTGTGGCACTTTTATTTTGACCTGCTGTTGCAGTCTTGGAAATCAGAAAGCCATGATGTCTTTACTAGTCCACTTGCCCAAAGCTACCGCTGTTAGTAATTTGTGCAGGTTGCCATTCTGTGACAGTGCAGAAGATCCAAACTGTATGCAAAAGTTCTCCATGAATATGACCTGGCATATTTATCTTAAGAGAACTTTCGGATCAGTGTGCATGCTGTCTTGTGTGCAGGGATCTGCTCCCTCCACAGAACCACACTGCTCACGCCTGCAGCGATACTCGCAAGCTGCATTGTAAGGAACACAGAAAGCAGGTTTATGTTAAGCTGAACCACTATCCCTCTGGTGCGGTTTGTCTACACCAGAGGGGGCAAAAGACGTTAGCATGGCCAATGGTCAGGAGTGTTGGGAGCTGACATGCGAATCATTTGGAGATCTACTTTCCGCTCACCTGGTCCACACACTGCTCTCTTGGGCTGTGGATCCCCAGAGATTGAACTGGGGAGCTCTTGCTGCACTCAGCCATGGTGCCGGGGTCAGTGACTATGAGGAGACTGAGCCCTGTGGAGGGCAGCTCCGCTCAGGCTGCCTTGGGATAATTCAGAGCACATTCTCTACTGCACTGCAGAATCTGGTGCCCAAGTGATGTACTGCATTCGAAGGTTCGGCGCAAAAGATGTGGCATGGGTTCACACATCACAAGCCACGGGCTGTTCTGGAATGGTTTGCCAACTTCCTGCGCCAGACAAGAACATGACAGACCCTGCAGTTCTCAAACTGCTTGTGCCAAGGACATGGTTGATCATCATGGCTGGTTATGTTGCCGGGTTCAGACAGCATGGTAACCCATGTTGCAGCTACAGGCCACGCTCAAGCCTTGAGTGTGGTGTGACTGTGATATCTGAAACTGGTTCTTATAAGTTCTTTTTCTGTAGCATTGCACCAGTCACAGGCCATTTTATTTTTCTGAGCAGCATTCTGCTTTTTATGCCACCTCTGTGACCTGTGTAGAACAGAGGTCTACCACAACCCGGTGCCTTTCAGATGTGTTGCTGGCTGAGGACTTCTGGGAGTTGTAGTTCAAGACATCTGGAGAGCGCAGGGTGGGGAAATCTGGTTTACCAGTTGCTATTTCCATTGCTCTTTTGCTGAGGAGGTTGGCAGGGCCCCACTGGCTTCAGCTCTGCATGCTTCGAGCTCTGTGCTGGCAAAGACACTGGAAGGGTATGCTCCTGATCAAATGCATATGTGCAGGCTGAGCTTGGCTCGCTCTAATGTGCATCCCGCTTCCCCACCCCCATTTCTCTTTCAGCTCTATATTCAAGCCAGGCGTCCTGAGAATCTGACCTTATCCATTGCCAGAGCTGCATACCACTCCCATCCCCTGAGGCTCCAGGGAGTGCACAAAGGGGTGTCCTACCAACAGTACCAGCCAGTGGTGATGCTGGAGCAAGCCTACATTGTCCAGTGGGATGGCAGAGCACCTGAAGATGTCATCCTGTATCCAATCAACTTCAATAGGTACCAGCCCATGGCGAAGGGGTCGAGGTTCTGGATCCTTTGCTGGGATGTTGTACAGCTTTGCTTTTAACTTTAGTGCTGTTCTAGATTTCTGCTAGTTTGTTTATTTGGTCCAAGATTGGCCTAGTCAAAACTGCTTTTGAAAAGGGTGTGTGGTGAGGGGGGGGTTTAATGCTTGCTGCCATCTCTCTGATGTGCAAAGTTGTTTCTCCTTCCAGTAAGTATATTTTGGAAAGGAACACAAGTTACTGTTGGCATTCTGGCCTCAAGATCAAGCAATCCTTGGCATGCCTGGTTTATGTAAGCTGCTGTACTCATATTTCCCATCTCTCTCTACGTAGGGTTTTGTTTTCCCCCTTGTCATTTTAACCCTGGAAATACTAGTTGATTCTTCTCTTATGGAGGGCTAGTGCATATGTGTATAGACAGACAGTGCCCCCAACACACTGCTTTTTCCCTTCTGAAATAATTTAGAAATGGAACATAACATACCCAGGTCCCTTCCTCCACCCCAGACTCCATGTTTGTCTGCTTTGTTTTCTGTTACATAAAACTAGGAAGGCACCCTGTTAGGAAAAAAAAATTCTATTGATCTGCTGCATGTTTGACCATATTGTACACATCACCTCTCCTTTCTGTCTGAGGTAAACAAATGCCCACTTTTTCTGCGTAATTCCCAAGCATTCTGTTGATTTGTTGACGCGGAGTATTTTTTATCCTGCACCTCAGCAGAAAAAGGGACTTGGAGCAGCTTACATATAACCAGGAAAACAAGGCAGTCCCTGCCCATTGGCTTGTAATCTTAATAGCCGTGATACACAAGGGAAAGGGGATGAGAGGGGAAGGGGGAAACGCAGGACTGGGGGAGTGGTCCTACTCCCCGCTCTCACTTCCTTCTATCCAGCCACTGAGCAATCTAGCACAACGCTTGGGAGATGGTAGCAAGATTGCTGGAGCAGCTCCCCTGTGAATACGGGGCCTGTTTAGTTTTGAAAAAGGGTGAGCAAGGGGAGATGTGACAGCCTGATGTGGAGAAAGTGGATGGGGAGACACACACACACACACACACACACACACACACCCTCGAACATGCAGGCTTTTTCATACTGCTAGAGCCTGGGATTACACCATGGAGCTGATTGGTGAGAGAATCAGACAGATAAAAAGGTATCAGCCTTTTTTCAGGTGCAGCTGGTGGTCTCGAACCTGTAACAAAATGTTGCAGTCAGTGGGGAACCAGGATGCGCAGGGATGCCCCAGAGGTACTTCTTCAGGCGCAGGGAACATGCTGCCATCCAGCACCCTGATCCCCAGACTTCCCATTTCCCCCCAAGTGCAGCTGCAATCTTCAAAGTAGCTGGAAAGAAAGAAATTTTCCCAGCAACAATAGATCACTCCCTGTTGTGAAGCAAAATATTTTGGGGAGGTCTTCAGAAAAGGTTAAAACTTCTAGAAATGATTTGTTGATATGCCATTAAGGACTAGAACATTATGAAACTCTCCACTGCTTAGAGCCATAGAGTAGTAGAATTGGAAGCGACCAGTAAGGCCACTCAGTCCCACCCTCCCACGCAGTGCAGGAACTTCTTTGTTTCTGGAAGCTGTTCTGGATTGCTTGTCCTCCTCAAATAGCTGGCATTGACTAGTGTGCCCAGCCACTCCCGGTTTCTGTCCTTTCCCGTGTTAAAGTGACTTTTGTCTTTGCTTTCAGTGGCCCATTGCTATTACTTTTGCAATGGGAGGAGGAACAGATTTTGGATACCAGCAAAGTTAGATAAGTCAAGGTCTTTCTACCTGGTTTAACAGGTCCTTCCATTGCGTCAAGTTTTAGCGTTGTTGGTGAAGGAGACTGTACAAACACCACGCTTGATGATTAACAACAGTTGCTTTTGGACGCAGGGAAGAACACACAAAATGCCAATTGTGCGAAAGTGATGGATGCGTTCAATAGCCATCTTCTTGCAAAGTAGAGTCTTGCAAAGTACAGTTTGATAGCATCATTATAAGTTATTTTTATCCCAGTGGACGGAGATAGTGAGGGATCATGCAATTTCAGTGAGGGAGCCATAGTGTATCTGGAATAAATATTCAGTGTTGGCTAGGAAAAGGCCATAGGGGGAATAAAGAATTTCAGCACAGGGATTTAGACTGTACCTGAGGTCATTCGTAATCCTGACACTGAACACTTGTGTGATTAACTCCTCTGCTGTAGTTGGGCCAAAAAATCCACTGAAGTTCCAGAAGGTCAGAGCAAGAGAGGAGGGATGGTTTTCTGAGCAGCATCGCTTTGCTAGTCAGTGCCAATGACAAATGGGGAAATACTGAGTAGAATTCTCCTTGCCCCATCTTTAAAAGCGTCCTGTGAAAGCTGAGAAGGGGAAGAAGGGGCAAAGCACAAGTGAAGGAGTTGGTGAGAAAGTCTATAGTGCCTGGGACTTCAGAAGAAGGCTGATGGCCATGCCCCTCACACCCCAGTCTCCAGGAACCCTTTTCTAAGGAGGCCCTGGAGCCTCCTGAGAAGAATGTCCTTGGGGTGCAAGCCATTTGGGGGACCTGAATCACCCAAGAAGACCAGGACCCTTGGCAGAGAGGGCTTCAGCCCTGCCTCCGAGTCGGGGAGGATGGCGTGCTCCTCCACACAGTTCTCCTGAATGCCAGCACCCAACAATACTAGCTAAACCTGTGGCCAAGCAAAGTAAAGATCTCCTTTTGAGCAAGGCCCTCCTCATGGGTAGGACTTCTGCAGGCTGGCCTGGGTGGAGCTTGGTCTCCATAAACCTTCCCTTCCATCTAGGTTGCTCTCACTGCAATGTTCAAGTACAGTTTGCAGGGCCTTGCTTCTTGTTTGAATGGGCCTCCTCTGCTACTGGAACATGAACCATCAAGGGGAACTTGAAGCGCTCAGGGTAAAGTCACCTCCTGCAAAGCCTTTGGAATATTTTGGTGCTGCTTCCTAGCCAGCACGCTGCATGAGAGGAAGGTGTTTTGTTCTCTGAAGTCCAGATCCTAGGGAGCTTGTACAGCAGACATTTCCTGCTGGCTGGCCAACTGACCAGCATAACAGCATGCTCAATATCCTCTCTCTGCTGTGCTGCATGCATCCCTGAGTTGGTTTGTAAAGTAGGTTGTGCCTTTGGCTTGAGTGGAAGACCTGTTTGCAGAAAAGGTCTGATAGTAGACTTTAAAATGTGTTAATGGGAGACTGTCAGTAGGAGAACCAACAAGTTCTGATTGAAAATCTGGGCAAGGAACAAACCAAGATAAGCGCTTGGGACAACAAGCCAAGACGTGCACATCAGTGTGATCTTTTGTCTCTGTTTGCTTTCAAGGGGCAAAATGAATAGCATTTTCCAACTCGTTGGGCCCCGTGCAGTAAAATAATTAGCCAGGTTGGTCTATGATTCTGGAAGTAAATGTTGAGGAAGGTGAAGTGATAAAAATGATATTTACCATTCTGTGGCCATTAAGCTTAAATGTTCCATGTTGCTAATAAGCCTCTGCATGTTTGATGACACTTGGCTGGTGGGCTAAAACGTCAAGAGAAGCTGTTTTACATTTCCCTTAAAACACGGTCTTCCTTTAGTGGTGTACTGGGGAGTTTGGAAGTGCAGGTGCTCCTTATGACCATCCCGTAGCCACCTTCCCAAGGACAGTCCAAACACAGAAGGAAACAGTCGTGGTTCTCCATCCTTGCAAACTATTCCTAGCTGTTTACCTTTCTACCAGGAGCAAGTCTTTTTTTTTTTTTTTTAAGCTAATTGCCTGTTCAAGACTTTGCTACCCCCAAATACTTTGTATTCCGACAGGGAATAACCTCTTGTTGAAGGTAATGCTAATTGCACCCCAGCCTCGGTGAAGACTGCAGCTAAAATAGAGGCAATGTGGATATTTGACTGGGACATCAGCATCCCTGCTAATAAAAAGGGCTAGCACTGCCCCTCCGCGAGTCCCAAATCCACTACCGAATGCTCCCTCTTTTATCCCCAAGGCAGGGAGAAAGAGAGCGAGCAGCCCTCACAGTTGGCCAGGCACACCCACGTGCCTTATGGCTGAATGGGAATTTGGTCTGGCTCTAATCCACCACTCTTGCCTAACCTTTCCAGCCTGGTGTTCTCCAGCTGTGTTGAGCAAGCCCCATCATTCCCAGCTAGCTGTGGGAGTTGTAGTCAATAATGACAACAGTGCTCAGGAAAGTTGGAGGCAGAGGGGGAGCACCAAAGATAAGATGGATCGATTCCATCTATGAAGCCACAGCCTTGAGTTGCCAAGAGCTGAGCAGGGCTGTGAAGGATAGGGCACTTCGGGGGATGCTTGTTCTCGGGGTCTCCACAAGTTAGTGCCTTGACAGCACATAGCAACAGCAATAGCAAATGGGAGTTGTATCTCTTAGCTCTTCAGGGGATGCTAGTTTGGAGAAGACTGCTTTGCATTGGGTCTGAACTCCCCCACCAGTGATGTGTCTGAGCACACCCTTCCCCACCCTCCCGTAAGTGAATGCTGCTGTTGATGCGTATTAGGATGGTGTGGAAGCAGCATCTTTAAAGTCTGGCACCTGTGAGCTGGAGTGTTGGCGAGACCTGGGAAAGGCCTGTAAGTGAACTTTGCCCATTGCAAATCTGTGATGCAGAGTAGCATTGGTTTTTTTCTGGAAAAAATAGCAACTCTGCTTCTGAACTCAGGATAAGAGGCTGCCGATACAGAGGCTACTTGGAGTGTCTGCACCATTGATTCTTATCTTAAGCCCTCTGAGTTATCTCTGCCATGTAAATGGCAGTGAAGACCAGTGCTCCGACTCTATCTTGAAGTGACAATATCAACACTAACCAGAGACTCTTGCAAGGAGCTTATCTTAGCTGGTTCATTGCAAAGTCAGTTAAGATTAAAACTAACCAAGCAGAACAAAAGAGCCAAAGGCGTCTGTAATTGGCTGCTTGGCCAAAATTGTGGCAGTATGAAGTGTCGGAATGCTGAATGCAAGGAGGGAAGGAATGCAGATATTAAAATGCTTAACCTAGATTTGCTGCCTTGGCCTTAGGCGGTAGAACGCGCTGGGGTGGTAGAAGTCAGCACAGAGCGTAACCTTGAAAGAACTGGTGTCAACAAAGGCTGGCTGGCTGGCTGCTTTCAGAAGCTGCAACTTGTGCAAAATGTGGCAACCAGACGAGTGGAAGGGACCAGATGTTCTGAGCACAGAGTGGCAATTCTGGCCCGTTTGCCCTGGGAGATGTTTCTGAGCCAAACTGAAGAATCTGGTTTGAATGTATGAAGCCTTCTGCAGCCACACGGCCTGACTGATCTTTTCTTCTGTTATATATGCACCTAGAGGCCATGATGCATATCAGAGACCTTCCTCTGAGGGAAAATGAGAGGTGGCAACAGGGAGAAGGCCTTCTCAGTGGTGGCCCCCCAATTTTAGGTTGCTCTCTCAACTGCAGCCCATCTGGCGCAGCATTGTCATTTTTCCAGTGCCAGGTCCGCTATTCCCAGGCATTTGTCCACATATGATAGCACATTTGTGCCATTTATCTTGCTCAGGAACCTCATCATACTATAACAGGCTTTCAAAAGCTACCCTAAATTGTTTTTAAAGTTTGCATATTGGGGATTTTATACTATATTTTTCTTATGCTTGTTGCTGTAATTTCTGTGACCCATGTAGGCGGCTTAGGCTATTGGATGGCCTGCACTTTTCAGCAGGACCTGCTGCCTCCTGCAAGAACTTCTAGTAGTACAAAGCGTGCGCCATGACTGCCTGCCCTGTGTAACTGTGCCATTTACGCCACTTCATGGGCTGCTGTTCAAGGCAGGGCGAAGGGGAGAATGCGGATATATTGGCGCACTTTGAGTGGCACAAGGCCATTATGGGGGAGCCAAGGAAGACAAGAAGAAGGTGTCGCCTCATAAGATGGGACTGGACAACTTGTGGGCTTATGGATGCTGTTGAGACTACAATTCCATCACACCTAGCCAGGATACTCAATCCTAGGGGCTCGTGGGAATTGTGGTCCAACATCATTTGGAGGATCATCAGTTACCCACCCCTGCTGTAAAGTCTAATTCTGGCCTATGAGTTGTGGACCAGCAAAGTCACAAATTCAGTTTTCTTGCCAGGACTATGAACTGTCTTAGGCTTAGGAGAGCCACCCATCACTTAGCCCCTTTTCCAGTTTGCTGTCTTTTTAATGTTGTTTTAGAAATGTCTGAACCACCGCCCATTTAAATCAATAAGAAGAAAGAGAGCTCTTCCTAAGTGTATTTCAAGAGCCCTGAGAGAGAGGATGAGGCCAAAAAAGAATGACCAAGACAAATGCAGATTTATGTGTGTCCTCTTCTGCTCGCTTGCTCACTCCCCTTCTGCTCCAGGCTTCAGTTTGTCTGGGAATATAATTTGCTTTCTTGAATTAGAATAAGGATGCTCAGTTTCTCTGGCCCAAGTCTCTTCTGAATGACCACAAAGCAACCTGCGACAGGGCAATTGGGAGCGATGAGCGAGCGGAGGCAGGTGCCGAGTCCTCCTGCACGCAGCCGCTCCCCGCTGTGCCTGCTCCCTGGCCAGGGCCTGGTTTTTGTTCTCTTCGCGGAGAGACAGGGTAGGAAGGGACCATTCCCAGCCTGGGTCTCTACTCACGGTCTAGTTCCCTCTTTGAGTGAGCGGTAGTAATTCTGGCCCTTGCTGGGGAGCTTGGGTTCCATGAGCCTCCACCGATTATAGTGTTATTCTTCCTTGCTTTTTACGCTGTTAATCACACAGCGATTAAATTCTTTGCCGGTGATGTACTTGGGAGGGAAAGCAGGGATAATAAGACGAGGCTTGAACAAGCCTGCTGCAGGCATGCCCGGCTTCCAGAGTTGCTTTATTTTTCCTCCATCTGCCCCACCTCCCAGTACACACCTGATGAGCAATCTTCTCTGTTTGGCATGATTAGGGAAGGGCTGAATGAGGAGGATGAAAAGAACTCTTGGCAACCCCAAGGACTATCCAGAGCCAAAAGCCATTCTGGAGCCTGCGGTTGGGGTTCTGACTAGTGTCTGCATAAAATGACCTCCGGAGAACTTTCTTGAGGGTCCTTGCTGAGCCACCTGTCCTGTTTGTTATGCAGTGAAATTAAAATCCCGTGTTCCCCAGACAGCAAGGGAAAGATTGCAGTGAACACCAGGAAAGCCGTGCTGGTCTCTTGGATACAGGCTGCCGCATCCACATAGCTGCCACTGCCACCGCACGTGCGAGGTGCATGCGAGGCTGGGGAGCTCCACCCTACAGAGTTCATCTGGCCCATGGAGTTTTCCACCTGGGCTGCAGATGCTTGCGCTCCCTCTGTGGGCCTGTACCCTTCCCCAAGCTCAGCTTCCTGGCAGATAAGGAAAAGAATCTCCTTATAAACACCTCAGACTGTTAACAGTTGCTTGGGAATTAGGGCCATTTCTGAACAGCTGAATAGCACAACTCCCAAAACTTGGAGGGGTTAAAACTAACTCATAGAAGACGAATGGCATTTTTCTAAGGTGTTTGATCAGACTTCAAAACTTGAGGGAGTCCATCGGGTCTCAGAGAAATTTGCAGATGGAACTCTGGACTAGCTGCACCCGGGACCTGTTCATGGGGTGCAAATGTGTCTTTGCATTTTCTGAGAACAACCCCAATCTAAGGCATTATTGTTTCTGTGTGTAGTTTTGCAAGGATGTCTTATTTTTATCAACTCCATTATCTGAAGTTTGCGTTGTTCCTGAGGATGGAACTGCTGTGATGTTCTCAAGTGCAGGACATTAGGCAATGATTTAGCAGTGTTACAACAGTTTGGATGTTGCCATCCAGAGGAAAAGTGCTAAATAAAAATAGAATCTGTTGAAAGTGAGAGAGTGGAATGGAACAAAACAGAAAAGTTGGATGAAGAATGAATAATTTCCCTTACAAGTGCTATGCACTATTGGCCAAAATGAGTTGACTCACCATCAGTGGGATGGTGGAGCTAAAAGGAGGAGTGAATTTAAAAATCTATCATAAGAGTTGGTTTTTGGTGATGGATAGCACATTCCTATGGCTCCTAGACAGCATCTTGGAGACCATAATTCTGTTCAGATCTGAGGTTGGTAGCAGAGCCCCGGAGATCCTCTTTCTGTTCTCCCTTGTTCCACTCTTGCAGCCAGCATGGAAAGACGCGCTCCAGCTGGTTTCCTGAGCTTGGAAAAGTGACCTTGGAGAAGGGGTTTACTGGTGGAGAGGGGAAGGAGCCTCCGCTGCCAATATACGGCACATCCTGGCAGTGCCTCAGCCTGCTTCTTTCCTCCTCTGAAATGCTGTAAGTTAGACAGCCAAGACCAGCTGTTTAGCTATGTTGCAGAGCGGGAGAAGCATGTTGCGCTTCATGCAGCCTTTTAAAACAAATCTTTAGTGCACCCCCACACACCCACACCCCCCCAGGCCCAGATACGCTCAGGGAATAATCCCACAATGAGGGGGATATTTTGGCAGAGAAAAAATGAAGTGTAGATAGAGATGTTTTTGCTACATCCTGAATGGAAAAAAATCCCATCAGCCCCAGCTAGTATACTCGGATGTCGGAAGCAATGGAAGATGCTGTACAGTTATGTCTGGGGGACAGCAGCCTGTCTGTCTCTCCTCTAAAGCCAGCCACTAATATTTTAAAAAGCTTTGCCAAAAGGCAGAGCAAGGGCAAAAATTTACTAGGGGAGGTACTGAAAAATAGAGAAAATTCAAAAGTATGGATTTGGGAGAAGACTATTATCAAAATACAGGTCACAGTGACTTTTACACTCTTCATTGTTATCTGTCTGCACAGAAGAACAGTGAAACATGGCAGTTCTGGAAATAGATTGGGACCAGAAAATTATCAAAGCAAAGTAGCCTTATGTGGCCTTTTCTCCTATTAATTGTAACCTTCCAAAACATTTTCTGGACAGTCTTTCTCAAGTTGTATGAATTCTGGGAATTTAGTTTGCTGAAAAGGCCTCGCAGTTCAGGGTTTTCTGAGCCATATTTCCACCACTTAGTTGATGGCCCTGGTCTAAAACAGGGTTTATACCCTGCTTGTGATGGTAACTATGGTGATGCTGAAAGTAAGGCAGAGAATAGGGATGTGAGGTCCTGAGACTGATTCCCCCTGCCTTGTGTGACTGTCCTTAACAGAATGAGCCAGCGTGGTGTGGCAAAAGAGACCTGAATCTGAGAGATCTGGGTTCTAGTTCTGACTGAGTCATGAATCTCAGTGGGTGGACTCTGGGTGAGTTGCCTCTCCTAGCCTAACCTACCTTACAGGGTTGTTGTGAGGATAAAATTGAAGCTGTAAAGTCATCTTGGGTTCCTCATAAGAGGGAAACAAGTTATACAAGTGAGGTATAACTGCAATGTATTATTATTGTTATTATTATTATTATTGTTATTATTATTATTCAGGGAGATTTGTGTATACGGATGAGGGTGATTTTGCTGGGAACCCATCACCCTTCACCGTACACTGAAAGTGGATTGAGGCCCACTTAAACTCTCACTACGAAGGGCAGGCTGAGAAAGATTGCCATGGCCACTTTATGGTAATATACGTCGCTTTGGATGGGCACTTACAAATTGCTAAAAAAGAGGACATTGATTTGCATAGGATCAGCGTTACGTTTACACTGAATGCAGGGGCCGCCCCCACCGCTTCCAGGGCTGCAGGGGTAGGCAGTGTCTAGGGTGAGGTCTGCCTTGCCAATCATGGCTTCCCAGAGCCAGTGGCTCTCCCAGTCCTGAGGTGGCTGCCTGATGCCCAGCTCGGAGCCCTGAAGATCAAAAGCGGCCTTTGCCCATTTGGATGCTGTGCCATCCCAGTTACAGATGTGGCTATTTTGTGGCATGTGTGCAGGAGGGACTGGAAGATACATGCACATTTTTCCCTCCGGAAGAGCGAACCCTCAGCTGGAGCTGATCTCTTTTTAACAGCCCTGTTACATTCTGCCAGTGTGCCTGTGTTCAGCTCGCTCTCTCTCCTTTGCCATCAGGGGCGACTGGCTGCATGTCGCCTTGTGCTACCCAAAGGGAACCGTGTTCACCGTGGTGGGAGACCTTTACCAGCGACGGACGGGCAGAGCCCGCGGTGTCACTCGCTATGCTGCAGCCTCTTCCTACCTCCGTGTGGTGAACGAGAGGAATGAGCGACTCTTCTATTTCGATGATGCTTCGGGGTGAGTGATGTTTGGCCCCGGCCAAGGGGCACATCCCAGTGGCGTTGCCCGTGTGGCGGACATCTGTAGGGGCACAGCTGGGCCTTGTGGTCTGGTCTGAGAGAACGGGGGGAGAGTGCAGACTTGTAAGCATCTAGGCCAGTAGTCAAGGTCTGCCATGGAGGTGCTCCGGATCTGTAACTTTGCAGCTGATGCCAGGCCTGCTCAGAACAGACCCGTTGCCATGAATGGGACATACTGGATGCCCCACTCCTCTGGCACCTTCATGCACACATAAGGGGAGGGAATATAAATATAAGGAAGGAAAAATAAATACACTTCTCCCCATTTTTCAATCGAGTTCTCCAGTTCCTCCACCGCCATGCATGTTATTAGGAAGAACACAGAAATGCATATATTAGTGAAAATAACATTGGAATTCATTCTATTAGGAAAATTGTTTGAAAAATATGTATATTAAACAAAACTGCATACAGATATCCAGGAGGTAAGAGCAAAAAAATGAGCACAAATGTCCATGCAAACTTTTTTTAAAAAAATCACATTTTTTTCTGAATGCACAGAATTTAGGACTGGAAAAAATGAGAGAAGCTGAAATTGTCCGAGCTGACTGTGCTCCTGATCTGGAGCCTGTGGGCCTTCCACGTGGGCACCTGCACAGCTTTTGCTCTGCACTGGCCTTGCTGGAAGACCGGTGCAGCGTGTGTGTGTGTGTGCGCGTGGCCAGGCACCTGCGAGGATTCAGCAATATGTCAGAGGCAGAGAGAGCCCTGCCCTTCTGCACCGCCCCTACTCCCTCCGCCTTGCCCTCTTGCAGCCCAGGCATGTGCCGAGATCCTGGGAGGGGGGCAAGGAGCGCTACCCGCTCCTCCATCCTAGAATGGTTTTCCTGCTTGTAAAATGCAGCTCTTCACCGGTGCAGCTGAAGAACTGAAGAGGCAAAAGCAGGAATAGGACCATATCTAACCTCTCAGATGTTATAACAGGTCTATTTTTTTTAAAGATGTTTTTATGTTTTTAAAACTGCTTCAAATTTGTGTGTCTTGGGATTTCATGCTGTATTTTATTGTATTGGCATTTTATTATTGAATTTCTATCAGTACAGTAAACACAGCATAAAATTCCAAAGTACAGCTGAGACAGCCCATCACAAGTTGTTAAACACCTGGAAGCAGAGAGCAGTCTTAACCTGGCACTAAGAAGATGACTGTGCTGGTGCCCAGAGGGTCCCCTCGAGGACATCCTTCCATAACCACGGAAGACTACTGCTGAGAAGACCCTCTTCCTTGTGTCCCCCCCCCCCCCGCCCTGGAAGCGGCACTTGAAGGAAAGCCTCAGGTGTGGATCAGAGCAGAATCAGGCTTTCCAGATTACCCCCCTCTGATCGTTAGTATTATCCCCATACTGCAGCTGGGGAGACTGAGGGTCAGGGAGGGGGTCTTGCGTAACGCCCAGTGTGTTCGTGGCCAGTGTGGTTCCAGGCCAGGACTTCTGGGCGTGCAGCTCGCTCTCCTGGCCACTGTGCAGCCCTGGCTCTCCATAGCCATAAGCCCACCTCCCGGCCTCCCACGCCCTGGTGCCCCGAGGCCTTGGCGATGTGTGTCGTGTCTTCCGGAGCCTGGTTTTCTTGCTCATGCTCTGGTGTGACAGCAAGTTTTAGATGGGCTTTTATTACTTTGGTTCATGTGGAAGCATTACTGGGTAACACGAGTGTCCTGGAAAGGTCCAGTTCAGTGCACCAGCCACTCCACCTTCCCCCAGCTGGGCCCGTTTAGGTGCCTTGAACGACGCCTTCCTTCATACTCGACCCTTGCCCTTGCTGGCTGGGGCAGATGGGCGCTAGTCCACAAGGCTGGGGGAGACAGCTGTGTGCTGACCGGCAGGGGACCTGTGTTTGGGCGGGGACCTTTCCCCTTCTGGGGAGGGGGTGCCAGAGCCGCCTTCACGTGCAGCAAAGCCCTTCTGGAGCGGCGCACATGAGCGCTTTCTTAATGTCTGTGCCGCGCGTGGGTGTATTTATGTGGCCCTAAGTGCCGTTATGAAATTTGGTGTATTTTGTGGTACAGCTGATCATGGAAATGCTGCCTAAGAATAGAAACAGCTACACGTATTTGTCAACAATGTAACCCACATGCTTGTAATTAGTGTGAGTGTGAGGCTGTGTGTGTCAGAATAGAAGAAGACAGTGAAATTCATCTGCCGAAACAAATTTTGGAGGATGTGTACGCTGTGTACCAACATGTGTTTTCTGCATTGCTTCGCCCTGGCCACTGAGGCAGTTTTCAATCAAAAACTGTCAGGTTCGGATCTAAAAATAGCTCCTCTGTTGGATGTTTAGACAGCATCATTAACCCATCAGACTTTGGAATGTGTGTTCCAGAAGGCCAAGGCTGAGCTTGTGCCTTGCATCTTTCACAGTGGGACCTGGGAAACAATGTTTTTGCCTAGTCCTGTGCAGAACTGGATGGCTTGTTACCCCGATGATGTCAGTGGGTTGTTTACTAGAGAATGGCTTTACAATGCAGCTATTTGCAAAGACATGTCATAATGTCTGTTTTGGGTTTTGCGTGTGTTCTGTTGAATGCTTGGCATGTCAATTTCATGTTTATGCCTTTTGGCTCTGAGCTGATTGGAAATTCAGAAATTAACAGCTTTATGGCATAGCAGAGCAGTGGGTAACTTGTGATCCTCCAGATGTCCTTCAACTACAGTTCCCAGCAGTCCTAGCCAGCATAGCCCATGGTGAGGGATGAGGGGAACTGAAGGACCACAGCTTGCCCATCACTTTGTCCCATGAGTGGTCCTTGTGCGGCAGGACGGCCTCAACAGCCTCTCCAACCCAAGTACCTCCAGATGAGTTGGATTGTAGCTTCTAGCATATCGATCTGGACAAGCGAATAAGTTAGAGACCAAGGCTCTTTAGTTCTAATTGGGCTTCTAATTGTACACAAACTCATAAAGGGGCAGACTAGACCTGGCCTGGTTCACAGGCAGCCTGTGGGAAAGGTGTTTGGGTTACGAATCTTACTTGCCTCTCATCTTTACTGTTTGCTTTTTGTTTTATCTTGCTCTTCTGTTGGCTAGGTATCTCTTTGTCCATCTTCAGGCACACGAAGCAAGGAAGGGCCACAGCTACTGCTCTCAACATGGCTGTGAACGTCTCAAAATAACAGCGCAGATGCCCTCTGGACTCCCCTGGAGTTGCACCCTCAATCCGTTTTTGGAAAAAGACGTTGGAAAGCAACCACCCTGGAGAATTCAGGAGCGGGCTGTGCACTGCACTCAGTGTGGTGCTCCCTGGGTACAGTACCAGATCCTCCTCTGTTCTGCTCAGAAGTTCAAGGGTGTGGAAACTGTAGGCCAAGCTGCACACGCCTTTGCTTTGTCCTGCCCTTAAATGCAGGGCTTTTGCAAGCTGCTGTGTGAAGTTCCCCCAACCTGGATAGGACCCAAATCGGGGGAGGGGGGGGGTTAACCCTATTACCCTCTACCATAGTCCCAGTCCAGAGTATGGAGTGCACCAAAAATTGCCTTGTAAAACAAGTTTCTGCATACAACCCGCCTTCCATGGCCACCTTCCACCTGTGGCAGAAGGTTGGATAAAAATTAAGTAAAGCATTGCCAACTGTAATCCTTGTACTTTACTCCTGGATATCACTAATCACAGCATTATAATTCAGTGCATGCACTTTCTTTACACACACAATCTCTCTCATCATTTGCACACTCCCTGCTTACCCGTGTGCATGAAATCAGTTTTGTTGCATGCAGACACTATCCCAAGAGAGCTTCATTTTACACAGCTGAATTGTAAGTGCATCCTTCATATATAGGCTATGGAAAATACCTTCCTTGCAAGCTATTAGCAAATGTAATTATCATTCCACTGGGTACTTGGCTTTTCTTTTTCCATCAGAGGCAGGCAATTAGCAATTTTTCTGATTCAAGAATGCGGTACAGTTAAACTCATGCTAAACTGAGCAAAGAACCTGTTTATTGTTAGGATGTACCGGGCTGTATTGGGAGATGGCCCCCTTTGCCTCCCTAGTCATCTAGGAAAATGGCAGATCATCAAGGTGGTAATTGCAGAAGATCAATCATAGATTGATGAAGGTTGTGGATATTTTTAGTCTGCCCTGATTATAAACCACTTGCTAGAAAAGTTAATGATACTGTTTAATCTGGCTGCTTCTTTGTTTTGATTTTCTTTTTTCCTATGTCTCCTGGAATCTTCAGATAAGGATAAATTTAAAGCAAAGGGAGCTTTAAAGGAAAAAAAATCCAAGAAAGAAATAAAAAAACTCCAAAGCCCATATTGATTTACACTACAACAACACTTTTAAGGGGGAGGGGAATCCCCAATGGGTACAGAAACCCCCAAGTAGCCCGATAAGGAGCAGCCATGGCCACTGGGCATAGAAGAGACTGCTGTGGGCAAGCAGATGGGAAAGCAGGGGGTGACAAATGGAATGGAGTACCCCAAAAAGGGCTTGGTTGCATGGCTGGCACCTTGAACAGGAACATTCTGCTCTGCAACATTTTGTTGCAGGCCCAGCAGCTAACTACCAAGGCCCTCATAATCTGTCTGTGTATTAATCCGACTGTGGAGATCCCATAGTATTCTGACCCCATTAACTCTTGTTTAAAGCCAACTATACTTACCAGCATTATCGTATCCCGAGGTCGCTGATTGCATGCATTAATGCAAAATGGTTCCTCTCTTCACATAATTATAGGTCGCTGTCACTAGTATGCCTTCCGTTAGATATGTTCGGATCCAGATCCAGTCAGTCAGAACAGCAGATGTGGAGAACTACTCAAGGCTGGCTTTTGTTAAGGTACATCTGGCATAAGGCTGCAGTCCTAGCATGAATTTCATGACTGGTCCAGATTCTGGCTGTGGCATTTCTGTAAGAACTGCTCTGGTATGGCAAATCTTCCCTAACATGATTCTTTGAACCTCAGCTCCCAGCAGCCACCGCCAGCATGATCAGGGATGCTGGGATCTGTAGTCCCAAACATCTGGAAGGCACCGGGTTGGGAGAGGCTGGGTCAGGTTGTCAAACTAGAAACAGGGAGAACTGAACTCAAACTCCCATTTGGCCATGAATCTTCCCAGGTGACCCCAAATGGGGAGAAGAGGGTGGGACTGGGGGCAGACTGAGGAGGGAGGGTGCGGGCGCTGCTCTGAGCTTTTTGGAGGGAGGGAGGGTGGGGGGAAATGGAATTAAGAAATAAGTGGTAATCTATAATAATAAAAGAGGGCACACGAGTGTGACTGTTCATCCATCCATCAGCTCCAAGATCAGAAAACATTGGGCAGCTGAAACATGGCATGCACACTAAGGGTTAAGGTTATTTTGTTGGAAAAAGAGCAAATTACTGAGTTGTGCCCAGGCGCAATGATGGTTTCAGTCACTCGGGAAGACCCCCCCCCCCCCGCAAGCGCTCATAAAAGTTGTGGCCGGTAGCAGCTTGGGCCAGAGGATGGAATTCTCTGCCGCCTGCTCCTGAGGGGAAAGGAGTGGGCAAAGCCCTCCCTCAGGGGGCCATGGGGTACTTCCTAGCCGGGTTATGCCTAGGGGGACCGGTCAGCATGCCTATATTCAGGCAGGATGGGTGTCATGCTTTCAGGCCTGACAAAGGCTTGCCTGAAGGTTTCGTTGTATCCACCCAAGGGCTGTTTGAACCCTCCACGTTTGCAACAGGAGAATAAATAAACAAATACATAACATAAGTACTGGATTTGCAAAGTGTTTCATGCTTCTGGCAAGAGCAAGATGTTACAAAACTGTTGCTTTTACTTTGCTTTGGCTTTTGCTGGTTTTTGTTTTGCTTTTGCTATCGGAAATTGCAAGCATGTCCTTTGATGTTTGCATATGGACTGCCTCTAGCAAATCTTAACCTTTTCTTTTATTGCACAGGTCGATGATGAGGTCTTCTTGTTCCATGACCGGGGGATATTGTTCCTGGTTCTAGATGCATGTTCTGGCTTGATCTTGAGTAGGCAGCACTTTGACACAGACAGCTTCACAGAGGTGGCTGCTCTAGCCACAAGTTACGTTGAAACGTCCGTACAAGAGAGGTGAGTCCTGTTGGAATGACTGCTGGGTGGTGCAAAGGACTGGGGGAAATGACTTATGTTTTGCAACCAAGAATGCATACCTGGAAGAATCTGACAAAGGACAATAACACTTTTTTTAAAAAAATCCACTCTTCATCTCTCAGAAGCCTGTCTCCTAGGTCATGGTGGATGAAAAAGTCATGCTGGAAAGGAGGCAGTAACTTTAAAATCAATGGTTCCCCTCCCCCATCCATTGGTAGATAAGGCTTTCAAAAATCCATATTAAGAATTCTGGAGTCTGTTACTTTCACCAAATGCCCAAGCCTAAAATTCCAGCAGTTTCCTGGCAGCCAGCGGCTCCCTTTTCCATTTCTGAAATTTGCCCTATTTATTCTTGCCAGGTCCCTCCCCCTGACACATACACATTTTCTTTTTGGTGACAGATTAGAATCAGAGGTGTTGCTGCACTTTCAGAAAAACTTGGTGTGTTCCCCAGATCCACCTTTTCCTGCTTTAAAAAAAAAAAAAACAAAAAACAACAAGTCAGTGACTGGACTTGCCCGTCTGCAGAATGAGTCCTTTTTGACATGCATGTGTTTTCAGTGGCAGAGCTGGATTCTCTCCGTTTTGCATCTGTTCCACATTCCTTGTGGTTTTCTGCGTCGCCACATAAACATGGAACAACAGAGATTTATAGGCAAAAGTTTTGGCTGCTAGCAAAAGCAGGTCAAATAACCTGAAAACAGATTTCTCATCCTGGAGGTTCCAGAGCAGTTCATGACCGCAGACCCAAAGACTCTGAAGGAACAACGTCTCTCCCTGCGAATGTGAGGTGGAGAATTTCCAGTCCAGGGGCGAAATCTGGCCCATGAGGGGCCAGTTCCAGCTCTCTGGGTTTCCTGAAGTGACCTCACTCCCCTTCTGGATCTTCTGAAGCTCATTTATTTCCCTTCTAAAAGTTCGAAGTGCCTCTCCTAAGACTGAGTGATGAGCAGGAAAAGCATTAAGCTGAAATGTGCTGTTGTTTCTGACTCAACCTTTTTTGCTTTTGGTCCCACTGTTTTTGTCTTTGCTCCCCCAAATGTACCTCCCAAGAGCTTTTCTGAAAAGGAAGCCATTCCTATTGGGTGGTATAGAAATAAAATTAATAATAATGATCCCTTAGGTTTAAAATAGTTCTGTATCCCTGCTATAAGCTGTTGTTGCTTTTCCCCGTCTGTAGTATTTAGTAAGCACTGTTTGTTAATGGGTATTAAGAAAAAGTAGTTAACATCTTGCAGATGTGGACCTCATTACTTAATCTGAAATCCATCTCGTAAGAGGGGTTTGAAGTTGGCTCTCCCAGATTAAATCCCAACACAGGATTTTCTCTTTCATGTTAGTTCTAACTTGTTACATTCTACCTTTTCTTCTCAGGAGGCCAAGGCTTAGCCTATTTGGTTCCCAGAATAATCCTGTGGGATAGGCAGGCTAGCCTGAGAGACACACACAGGGCAGCCAGTTGTCCTGAGGACTAGCCACTTAACAGGACTCAGGGACAAGTGGAGCAGGTGAGAGAAAGAACATGTCAGAGATTTCTGACAATATACCAGCTGAATTCCTGCCCAACAACCCTCAGATTCTGCTAAATTCAGGCCATGAGACTCTTCCTGTATTAGCATTCTTTTCTACTAACTGCAGTGCATGTGCTGCTCCATTTTTTTTGGTATTCTAAGTGCAACTAGCAGATGCCCTCAGTGCAGCTCACAATAATAAAAACAAATAACAAAAAAGGCAAACTATCACAATAATGCAATATTAAACATCAGAAACATTGGAAAGTGAACAGAATTTTAGATTAACATGTAAATGTAAGCATCTGCTTAAAGAAGAAACTGTTAACAGTGTCAAAATATATACAGTGGAGATGTTTTTTCTTCTTCTGGGAATATTCTTGCATAAGGCTCTTCTTGAATGACTCTGAACATATTCCTGAGGAGATAAATTGGGTGCAACTTCTCCTCATTGTGGTGTACTCAATGTTCTGTCTTCTGTTTTCCAGATCAATTGTTCTTGTGTGTACTAGAGATATTCCAGAAGCAGCTGGAGGTGTGGAGATGTCTGTATTTACAAGGTTAGGTTCTGCAAAGCCCATTACTTTCCATGGAAAAGGTGAGTAGCTGACTTTGTGACTTCTTACACAGGGAAAGGTGACTTTTATATGTACTGAATTACTTGCTTGACTCCTTTTAAGTACAATTGTTCCTTTAAAAATTATACTCATTGCACATATGGAAGGGTGGTTGAGGAATTTATTCAGTCTTCCTAAACCAAAACTGGAATGAATCTTGTTTGCTGCAGTCTGCATACTTCTGAAATTTGTAATGAGTCAGCACACCAAAAATGCATCCCCAGATTACATGCATTTCCAAAATGATGTGCAAATCATTTAAAAATGGGTATATTTACAAATAATGTGTACTGGAATGCATTATTCAGTGTGGGGAAATATACAAAATATGCACACAGAAATGTGCACATTTCAGGAAAATGTGTATAGAAATGGAAATATAAAAGTGTGCATGCATGTACATAAAAATATTAAGGTGGACTTAAAGAAAATAATTTGCGATCCAAGGCTGAATAAAAAAGGAATGATCTTGGCACTAGAAAAAAAGAGGAACTGACCTGAATGGAAGGAGATGAATTCACCCACTCTTGTTGTGTACTGTCAAACGGCCACCGATTTACGGAGACCCTTTGAAGGAAGGCCTCCAAAACCTCTTGTCCGTGAGAGCCCTGCTCAGCTCTTGTCGACTCAAGGCTGTGGCTTCCTTCATGGAGTCGATCCATCTCCAAGTCGGTCTCCCATTCTTACTCATAAGCACTTTTGGTGTGAGTGCCATAAAGACGAGCTGAGACGTTGATCATTCCTGCAGGCAGCCGGCTGGCCACTGTGTGAACTGGATGCTGGACTGGGCCCCCCTTTGGTCTGCCCCAGCACGGCTGCTCTGCTGCGCTTGTGCTCTTCTACTCCAGTGCGAAGCTGGGCTGGGCGTAGATGGGGCACCCCAAGACGCAGCTCCCCTGCTGCCACCACCTGGTGCTTTCATGGTGGCGAGCTCGGCAAGAGCAGCAGGTGCTCCGCATGGGGGCCTCTCTGCCCTTTGCAGCTTTGCCTCGGTTGTTTCCTCCAATCCCAGGGTCTGCCCCATGGATCAGGAGATCTGAGTCCCTGCCGGTCCCACCCCGAATCTGTGCCTTAAGTGGGGTGCATGCAGACATAAATGCCACATGCTGAACTCTGTGCACAGGGGCTGCTCTCCTGCTGCAGCATTTCTCCAGGCGGATAGGCAGCACAGCCAAATCGTGCTTCCTTCTGGAGTGAAACTCCCTTTTGTTGATAAGAAACTCAGCCAGGCAGCCGCCTGTGATTCTGCTTTAGACGTTTCTCAGGAAGGGGTCAATAGTGGACTTGGAATGATTTCCAGTCACAGATTATTAGCATTGCTGGGTTTTTGGATGCTCTTCTGTGGTTTTCATGAGCATTGCCCAGAAAAATCTGATGTTAAAAAAAGGAACAGAAGTTATTGAAGTTATCCAGCCTGTACAGTGCAACTGGCAATCCTGAAATGTCTTCATAATATTGTTGCATAGTTTAGGCACAAAAGAGATAAATTTGCTGTCACCCTCAGTTGGTTTGGTGACCAGCTGATGGTCTAATTCAACCTTTTCTCACCCAGTACCACAGGACTACAGCTCCCACCATCCAGAGCCAGCCCTCTGGGTGTGGTGATGGGGACTGTAGTTTAACACCCCAGCAGGTGTCATGTTGGGAAGGCTAGAAAGATTGAAAGAGCGACTGGGAGGGGAAAAGCGCTGGGGTCTGGAGAGGTGGGGCTCTCCTTTGCAGTGGATAATTTCCCCGACCTGGTGCCAGAGTGGCCGTGTCATTCATGGAGGTGCTGGAGGGGTGGCGTGAAGGCCACATGTGGCCTGTTCATTTGATGCTTTCCCAACAAATAAGATATTTCATGACCACCCTCAGCAAGCTCACTCGAATTCCTATCTGGATCATCACAGCTGAGCTGATTAAAATCCATCCCCTGCCAGTTCCGGAGCGTGTGGTATTTGCCCTCCGCCCTCTTTAATTAGATTGTCCTGCACTTTTCCAAAGGGGGTCATTGCACTCTGCTTGGGAGGTGGCTGCTGCGGGGTGCAGGGGAGAAAGGCTTGCTGTGCCATTACAAGGCCTGAAGCTTTGCAATCACTGCCTTTATTAGCTGACACTCAACCTGTATGTGTGACGGGGGGGGGGTGTCTTGTCTTGTGACAGCCTGCCCCACTCGATCTCAGCAGACCCTGCCTCCCACCCAGTTGTGTATCGGAGTTAATGACACAGTTCTGGCATTTGACAGGGATGAGTGAGAAACTTGTTGGCTCCACTTAGCTAACAAAACGCAAACCAGAATGTAGTTTGCCTTTGCAATCCACACCTTAGCGAAGCTTGTGAAGCAGTTTGCCCCCTGACCTAAACAGTTTTTTTAAAACGCACATAGAAATGGATAGATTTGAGAAACTGAGCACCAAAAATACTTTATTCATTGGAAAATAAATTGTACAAGGAGGTGCACAAAAATATAATGCTAAAAGTTATATATCAAAATAGGATATACAAGGGGATAACTGTCTGCTGACTGAATTCACAGACGGTACCAAAATGGGTGCGGTGGCCACAACGGAGGAGCAGATGATTCAGATCCAGAAGGATCTGGACAAGTTGAGGAAGTGGGTGGAGGACAACAGGATGGCATTCAGTGTGGATAAGTACAAGGTCTTGCACTTGAATAGGTGTCACAGGTACAGAATGGGGGACAGGTGGCAGGAGAGCAGCACTTCTGAAAGGGATCTTGGGATTCTTGTCTATAGTAGGATGAACATGAGCCAGCAGTGTGACATGGTGGTTAAGCAGGCAAACACCACCCTTGTATAGCCAGAAGCATGGCTTCCAGATCTAGGGAGGTGTTGATACACAGCTCTGGGGAGCCCAAAACTGGAGTACTGCATCCAGTCCTGGGCTCCACATTATAGGAGAGACATCGCTAGGTTAGAATCTGTTCCACACAGGGTCACAAAAATGGTAGCCAGGTTGGGAAGGATGACATATGAAGAGAGATTGAGGGAACTGGGTCTTTTCAGCCTGGAGAAGAAGAGACTCTGAGGGGATGGTTTAGCGACTTATAGGTATGTGAGGGGAAGTCATGTGGAGAAGGACCATGATCTGTTCCTCCCTGCAATGGAGGGCAGGACACGTTCCAATGGGGCAAAGCTCAAGGAACCTGGCTTCAGGCTGGGTGTCAGGAAGTACTTCCTGATGGCTAGGACCCCTCGGATATGGAATGGGCTTGTAAGGGAGGTAGTTGAGGCCCCATCAGTGAAGGTGTTCAAGGAAAGATTGGTCAACCACATGTTGGGGATTACCTAAGCAGAGCTGGCTGGAACTAGAGGTCAGACTAGATGGCCCAGGAGATCCCTTCTGATTTGCTTCACTTCTATGTTTCTCTCTGGGGGAGGGGGGTGCGTGCGCACACACACACACACACACAAGAAAAAATATGCACAAAAATCCAGACCAATTTTCCTGTGGATGGAGAAAGATCTCAGTTTCATGTGGAAATGACACAAAACAAAAGTGAAAAGAATGTGAAACTGGGGCAAAATGAGCACAAAATGTCATCCATCCATAATCGAAAGGCCAGTGTAGGCTACTGATTGTCATGTGTCAAACTGGACAAATGGTGTCCATGTACATTGTGACCTGTTCATGCACATACGAACGTTCAACTTGAGCAACAGGGAAGGCAGAATAATCTTGATCCCTCAATCACACAGAGAAAGTACATCTTAGCCAAGAGCTGTTTTTCCAACTTGCTCTCTGTGGCAATAAGTTACCTGATTCAGCAATCCTTCAGTGATGCAGAAAGCTCTTAGCATTAGCGGTTTCACTGCATGCATCAAGATGGGTAGTCTTGAAACAGTTTCTGACAGCGCCAGTCATCCCAACTGCTGTGGCAAATGGTAGGCAGTGCTGTGGCGTCACATCTCGATGGTGTGGCTCTCTGCCAGAGAGGCCTCCCTGGAAGCATATTAGGCAAGGCATCTCAAAAGAATTATAGCCAAGAGGGAAACCTAGATTTCAGGTGTTCGCTAGCAGCACTACGATGGGCATTGCGTGGTACAAAGATGGGTATCGACATCCTGGGTGTTGAGTCACCAGCGTTGCAGCCTTCAGTTTGGGCTGTGTACCTTTTTGCTTAAGCAGAGGTGGTGTTCAGCAATGGCCCCACAAGGCTGGACCCTGGATCTCGGGGTGGGGGGAGCTCTACCCCACTCCCTGCTGTCCATGGGTACTTACTGAAGGCATGGCGCAGGGGCCTGGAGGCATCTGGTCACCTTGGAGAAGCTGGCCTTTTGCCCACAGGGGCTTTACCTCCTTTGAATCTTTCTGCCTGAGCTTTTATGCTTGAAATTGAACACCTTTCTCTCCCCTGTGCATACACTCCTTTGTACACAGCGCATGACATCAGAGCATATGTAAATTAGTTTGTACTTTATTTTGCCCTGTGGCAAAAAAAAAAAAAAAAAAAAATCAGACCTGTTCAGAAACTTAAACTGTATTCATGATGAACAATGCCAGGAACTTGGAAAGACATTTTTACAAATATGTAAAATATAGGTGATTTTGCACCCTGGGTTGCTTTCTTTAATGGAATATCTTAGATACCTGGCACAGTTCAGAAAGGTACATTCAAACTTGCTATCTGTGCCATTTCTAAAAATCTTTTGTCTCCTTTCTTGTTCCCCACTCCCCCCCCACCCCCTGCCCCACAGGCAGTCTTGCTATGCTCGGCTATAAAGGAAAACCCAAACCTTCTTGGATTAAAATCCTCAACCAAGCTGCAGACCAGAAACCTGCTTCTCTCCAGTACTATGTGCCACTGATGTTGAGGGAATACAGATGTTCAGTTGATGTGGCAACACTTTAAGAC